TTATTTGAGAGAGAGAAAGAGAAAAAAAAAGGAGCAGGGGGGAGGAGCAGAGGGAGAAGGAGAAGTAGACTCCCTGCTGAGCAGAGAGCCCGATGTGGGGCTCCATCCCAGAACCCTGAGATCATGACCTGAGCCAAAGGCAGACACTCAGCCACCCAGGTGCCCCTATGGCTGGTCTTCTCATTTCTTTCACGTATATTACTTTCCATGTACCCACAATTACAAAATTGCCCAAAACAAGATTGTTTTTTTTTTTTTTTAACAAGATTGTTTTTAAGGCAGAGCTGGTGTTCCACTTTCTGCCGCCTCTGTCCTCCAAATCCACCCCAGTTCTGGCTTCCTGCCCAAAAGGCTGCCAGGAGCCATCATGGCTCAGGGTCAGAACCTGAATAGGTATTTAGAATAGGTGGAAATAGATTGAGAAGGGAAGGCGACTTGCCTCCTGCAGGAATTTCCAGAACCTGAGCTTACACTGTCATCTGGCCCAGCTCACACAACCACCTGTGCTTTAGAAAGAAGCAACTTGCTGCTGGAATGGGAGAGGCTGGCATTTTAGGATGAGGTGATAGCTTGAGGCTGGAGCAGAGGAGAGGTTGTTCAAAAGAATGAATAAAGAACATGGGACTGAAAAAAAAAAAAGAACATAGGGCTGGCACAGAAAAGCCTGTGGAAGCCAGGAGGGGGTCATGTGAATCCCTGAGGACAGAAATATGACCTAAAACAAAAGAAGTCATTCTATTCTGTGCACACTTCCCTCAACTGGCCCTAGAGGGGAAAGATACACCTCACCTCATATATTCCGGTGGAGAATGTATAGCCTGAATCTAATCACCACAAGGAAATGTCAGAAACTCAAGTGAGGAACTTCTATTAAAAAAATAAAAGGTGGTCATTCTTCCAAAATGTCAATATCAGAAATATGGGAATGTTCCAGATTCGAGGAGACAGGACAACAATATGCAATACCTGACCCTAGACTGGATCCTGAACTGGAAAGGGAAAGTGCTCTGAGATACAGCATTTGGGCCAACTGATGAAACTGAGATACCACAAGGAGATTAGATAAAAAGTATTGAGTAAATGTTACATTTATTGAGGTCGATTGCTAAGAATAAGTCAGAGAGTATCTCTCTTCTTAGGAAATACCCACTGCAGTATTCAGGGGCAAAGGGTAATGGTGTGTGTAACTAATGCATGTATTGAGAAGCAAAAACTAAAAAATCTGCCCACCATCTATCTATAAACACAGATAAGTCCAGGGGCAAAGTTAACAGGAAGCATTTCTCCCAGTATGTGGCAGCTGTAAAGTGTCCCAACCACCCGCTTTGTGAGCAACTACTGCTATCTTACTCACTGAGAAAGTTTGCTCTCTAAAATCATAGGCTTTTAGAAACTTTATTGTTTGAAAATATATCCATAAGAATGAAACTTATCCTACTTTTCCCAGAATATCTAAGTCACTTTGATATAGACAAGAAGCCTCAATTTCCAGCCCTGATGCAGAGCTTTATATAGAGTTTCTGGGCATGGCATGCCACGTTTATCTTAACTTTACAGTTTCCAAGGAAACAGGATTCTGAGTCCACTTTGCAGTTCGTAACTGTTGACTCATTTATACACATCCCTGCTTTGCTCTGAAGCTACTAAAACACCGTTTCACTTAAATTTCACCAAAATTCTAATTCTTCTCTTTCCCCAAATCGTATAAGTTGATCACAGCTTCTCCTTTGGGATGTGGTCTCCTTCCCTGCAATTGGTTAGTAAACTTGACTTTAATTCTTTCCTGATAATTGAGTTAAGATGGAAGGGTGGATGATGGATGGATGGATGGATGGATGGATGGATGGACAGATAGATAAATAATGATAAAGCCAAAGCAATGGGGTAAACTGTTAACAGTAGATAAATCTGGGTAGATACTATTTGTATTTGTGCAGGTTATTTGTAACCTTGAGATTATTTCCAAACAAAAAAGGTGTGTGTGTGTGTGTGTGTGTGTGTGTGTGTGTGTGTGTGTGTGTTTTAAGGAAACTAAATTAGTTTGGACTAGTATTTAGCAAATTTTTTCGAGGCCAAGGAAGACTTTTTTATTGTATTTTATGTTGTAATTCAGTACATACTCAAGATACTCAAATTTTGAGAACTATTTCTTAACCATTTTCTATTCATTCTCATGTTTCTATGCACTTATGTTTTAAATAAATGCTTATTATCAGTTTCCAATTATCTGTAAAATTCATCCGTATTTTTAAAAACTCTTGGAAAGGTCTTAGCACTGGTTACAGTCTAAGCCTAAATGAATGTTAGACGTCGGCCTTGGATTTGTCTTCCCGTTGACGCCTGAGAGGACTACATTTCCCAAAGTACCTTGGGGTGAGGCCGGGCGGAAGGGGTGTGTACTCTGATTGGAGACGGCCAAGTTCTGACCTGTCACGCTTTCTGGGCAATGTAAGCGAGCCTCACGTGGGAGGAGGAGGCGGGACTTTCGAGGACTTGCGCAAGGTTCCCGATGGCTGCTGGGAAACGTGGTTCTGAGAAGGTAGAGGGTCCGCCGCTCGGACCCTTGGGATTTGTAGTTTTGGCAAACCGGCGCCGGCCGGGTTCTTCCTCCGCTGGGTCATCGCAAGGATTGAGTCCTTCTTCCACCACCGCCCTGCAATCTCTTCATGCATCGATCCCAGGCAGCTGCTGAGGCCCAGGCAGCTGCTGAGGGCTTCTCTGGTCCGCGACTCCGAGCTCTCAGACCGCAGGTGCTCCACAGAGAGCCAGGGCGGGGGCATTGGCAAACGCTGGCTTTTGGCAGGCGTGGGAGGGTCCTCGGAGGTGAGGGGGCAGGGTCCCTATGAACTGAGGAATCAGTCCAGAATGCAGCGTACAGGGGAGCTGAGCAGATGCTTAAACAGCTGAATTGATGCTCGCAAAATGCCCTCCACTGCGGCCCCCACCCCCACCCCATCTCTCTATGCGCGCCCAAGTCTATGTCCCTGGGCTTGTGACCAAACAGTGGTGACCTAGAGTAATGGATGGGGTGATGAGGAAAGCCCCTGACTCTGGGAGCCCAGGGAAGGCTCCTGAGTCAGCTTGGGGGAGGCCAGGGAGGAAGAGAAGCAGAGATGGAACTCATCTCAAGATCCCAAAAATGGCCCGGGACAGGTATCTTCCTTCCTACAAAGAGCTGCGCTGTGCCAGGAGATGCTGGGGACGCAGAGTTGGTCATACCCAGCCCTGCCCAGCGAGGCTCCCCAGTCTGGCTGATCAGGGCTTAGGTCAGAAGAGAACCCAGCTGTTCTGGAACATTACAGGGGGCACCTAACCCTGCTGGAGGGAGGGGGGAGGGTTGTTCAGAGTAACACATTAGTTCTTGAGAGAACCTGTACATATATGCAAAGACAATGTCTGGACAGACAGAGCATGCAGAGGTGAGGGTGAGGTTAAAATTGCCACGTGAGAGCCGGATCTAATGTTGCAAGGACCTCTCAGTATCCAGCACTCTTCTAGATAGATATTCTTACCCACGATGTACAGATGGGGACACTGAGGCATCGGGGTTATATCTCACTTTATGTTTCCTAAAGGTAAGTGGCCGAGATAGGATTAGAACCCGGGATGTCTGGCTCCAGAGTCCAGGCAGGTAACCACTGAACTGCTCCACATTGACCCACCCATTTTGCAGAATGTCAGGTCTCTAATGGTGGGCCCCTTCCAGGCAGTAGCAGATAAATGCCCATCCATGCCTGACTAATGTGCCGTCTGGTCGCCTAGAAGACATCCTGCTGCATCTTTCCAACTCCAGGAAACAAGTTCAGAGGGGGAAGAATTTTGAGCAATGTTTTCAGTTCCCTGATTGAAGCCTTCCTGACCAGAGCACCCCTCCACCCTGCCACCTCCCCCACCCTGTCACCTCCCCCACCCTGCCACCTTCCCCACCATTCCCCATTCTGTTACTCCTATCTATGGGGACGGTGGGGCTGAGAAATGACAGAGCTGAGATGACAGGGATGGCTCATTCCTCCCACCGGTGGATCCAATGGTGACATTTTAGGCTGGTGGTACGACAGCTGAAGGAGAGGGAGGGATGGAGATATAAGGACAGACAGGGCACACTCCAGTTCCTGGGCCCCATGATGACGTCAGGGTCAGGATCATGTTGCCAGTATTGGGGGGAAGACAGTGGGTGATTCCAGAATAAGAGCTCCTCCCTCAAAGAGACTGTCCTCAATGCAGAGGCCAGGCTGGCCCACTCCCTAGTGTTCTCAGGGAACAAAGATGTGAAAAAGGCAGTGAAAGAAAGAGTAGCATGTGACTCACATTCAACCATTTTTGAAACGCTCACCTTCCTAGGTTCACCTGAATTTTCCAAGAGTTAATGCAAGGTGGGATAATTGTGCCCATGTTCAGGTGAGGAAACTGAGGCACAGAGAAGGAAAGGGTCTGGCTTATGGCACACTAGGAGGGAGCCTAAGTTTCCAGGCTGTATACATTAAGTTTGCTTCCCAACACATGCCCCTGAGGTCGGGGAAGGGAGTAGGGCAGGGCCTGATATTACATGATGCTAAGGAACCATCTCGTGGAACGAGTTTGAGATACACTAATTAAAATTAAATGGGTTTTTTCCTGCAGGACTTGTCAGAACCTTTAGCTCCTTCGTATTTCTCAGATCTCTGACCTGCACCAAGGTCAAGGCCTGGACAATGCCTGACAAGCCCTGTATCGCAAAGGTCGTGAGTGGGACACGATGGAGCTGGAGGCGTCAGCAGCGTGTGCATGCGTGTACTTTGGGCATTTGTGTGCAGGAGCAGATGATGTGTGTGTATATATATAGATAAGTGTGTGTGTGTGTGTGTGTGTGTGTGTGTGTGTGTTCTCCATCCTTCTGATTCTGGGGCTCAAATAATATCTGTAAAAACGGAACGGGATAGGCATCCAAAGGTCAGGGTCTTGCCCTTCCAGGGCTTGCCCTCGACGCGACAGACCAAAAGTGCCTCCACTGCTAGCTCAAGTCAGATTCCAGAAGGCTTTATTAGCGCGGAACTTAGCCTGATGCCAAGAAAGACACAGGCGAGTAAGGGCTCTCGGCTCCGCAGAAGGCCCCCCGGGATCGCCCAGCCAAGGGGGGGTACACACTTCCATCCGTGGGCAGGGAGAGAGGGCGGGAAGGGCATTCTCCAGGACGAACAGCCCAGCCAGAGGGCGAGGGGTGGGCTGGACTGGAGACGCGAGGACCGGCCCCGCTAGAAGGGGTACTCGCAGACGTAGTAGAGGCGGCGTTCGCAGTCGTGGTCCCACCAGGAGCCGTCGTCCGAGGCCTGCGCCACGCAGTTCTCCAGCGTGCCGCCGTTGGGCTGGTTGGGGCTGAGCGGGTGCGGCGCGGGGCTGGGCCCGGCGCCGGGCTCCGGACGGGGCGCGCGGTGCCAGGCGAAGAAGGACACGCGCTGGCCGTTCTCGAAGAGGTATAGTCCCTCGGCGCGCCTGTCGTGCACGCCCAGCCACACTGGCCAGTTATAAGGCGCGAGCGCCGCGCGCAGGTAGCGGGTGAGCGCCTCCATCTGCTGGCGGTCCGCGGGCTGCGCCAGGCTCCCGCCCCGCGCCACACACCGCGCCTGCGCCGCTGCCTGGGCCTCGAAGTCGCGCGATAGCAGAAAGCACTTGTGGCCAAGGCGCAGCCCCTTCAGGCAGCCTGCGGGCGGGGCGGGGCGGGGCGGGGCGGGGCGGGGTCAGGCAACTCCGGGGCGGGCCGTGAGGGGGCGGGGTCGGAACCCCTGGGAGGCGGGGAGTTAGGCCCGCTGGGGGTGGGGCCAGACTGCGGGAACTGGACCGTGGGGGGCGTGGCGCGGCCCGAGTCGGCAACGCTCCACAGCGCCGCTGGCCTCCGCTACGGCACGCCCGCTCTCCGCGCTCACCCTCCCGGCTACTCTAAGCTCCCCGTAAGCCCGTACCTCCAAATCTCTAGGAACCCAGTCGCCCCTAACACCCTGAGTCTCTCCAGAGGTTTCTGGGCCCCTTCCTCCCACCGGCCCTCCTCTTGACCCGGATCGTCCCACTTCCCTGCCCCGCGCGATGAGGACTCACCCTCTAAGCGGCCGTGCTCGCGCTCCGCGCGGCTCTGCGCCTCCTGCAGGGCTTCCACGGCGTCGCGGGTGTCGCCTGCCGCCTCCCGCAGCTGCCGCAGCCCCCGAGTCAACTCGACCATGCGGGTGTCTAACGCGTGCAGACGGACGTGCAGCTGGTGCAGGCCTGCGTCCAGGCCGGCCAGGCGGCCCACTGCGGACAGACGGGGCGCACGCTGAACGGGACCCGCGGGGTGGGGACCAAAGGGTCTGGAGGGACTTAGGGCTTCCGGGGACGGAGTTGGGGTGGGGAGCACTCGGGATTCCCGGAAGATGGGGCCAGTGGCCTCGGGCTCTTGGGGAGGCAAGGCCAGGCACCCGGAGCTCCGGGGACGTGGGATTATCAGCTGGGCGATGGGCAATTGAAAGGTCCTGGGCAGTGAAACGAAGGTACATTTTTGAGAAAAATGACCGCGGAGGCCTGGGGGCAGGGCGGAGCTAACGATTACTCACGGATATAAGTGACGGTGTCCTCAGGGGTGGGAGAGGGACTGGGGCCAGAGTACGGGGTTGCCGTTGCTTCCTCCTCTTCCTCCCCCTGATCGTCCTCCTCGGTCCCCCAGGTCTCCTTGTTTTCAGGGATTCCCTCAGGATTTTCATCCCCCCTCCCAGCTGGCAGCCCCAGGGCCTCCTGCAAATGCTGAGGCAGGGAACGGATGATTAGGGGCAGCCCAGCTGCGTTCTGACGCCCCACACGCTCCAGCAACCCCTTTACAGCTGTAAGCTCTGCCCCAGAGTCCCTTGTCTGAACCCATCATCCCATCCTTTAAGCCTGTCCCATCACTCTCCCTAGCCCATTTCCCCAACCCTGGAAGACCCTCCTCCCCACACCCCCAGCTCCCGCGGGAGTCCTAAGCAACTCACCTTCAGCATCAGGGCTTCCCTCTCACGCTCCTCCTCTTGGGCGCCTCCCCAGACCCCCTCCCATTCCCGGTCTGCTCCTCTAGCCCCTTGGCTGAAGCCCAGGAGCTGAGGGACCACCAGGGCCCCAAGCAGCCAGGCTGCCTGCATCAGACTGGGCTCCGCAGCACTCAAGGCTGCAGAGGGATCTCTGGGAAGGGGATGTCTCTGGGAACTGGAGTGCACACAAATCACTAGCCCCTGGTCCCTTCCCTCCCAGCTCTTGTCTGTGTCCACCGCCTGCTTGTCTGTTGGTCCCTGCTCTTCTGTGTGTGTGTGTGTGTGTGTGTGTGTGTGTGTGTGTCTCTCCCCGCCTCTCTTGGCTCCCCTGAGGCCCTGCCTCTGTGGCCGGAAACCTCCAACGTTCCAAAGCCTGGATCCCGCCTTGGGTCTTCCCACATACCCCCCCTCTTCCCACTTTCCAGAGCTCACTTCCGCCCTTCTCTTTTCTTCCACCATGGCCAAAAGCTCAGATGGCCCGGAGAGGATGGAGCTGGCTCTCCAAGGGATCCTGGGGACACAACCTCTGCCCAGGACACAACCATAGAGGGATTCTTGGAGCTTGGCTCTGCTCCCTACTCCTCCTCCTGGCCACTCCTCAGGAGCAGGGAGACTAGAGGGTCTCCAAAGGTTTTTATTACCCTGCGGCCACCATCGCCCACGCCCCCTCCTGGAGGAGGCTTTCCCACCGTTTGCAGGCTCTAGGGCACCTCCTGCCCCCAGAGCTCCCTTCCTGGCCTCAAGTCATTGCCCCAGGATGAAAATGAGTATGTGTCCCTGTCTGTGGGGACACGTATAAAGAGCATGCATGTCGCTGTATATGCAACTCTAGAAGGCAGGGCTCTGGGATTCATTTGCTGTACTTTCCTGGAAGCCTCCTGCAGGCCAGGCCCTGGGTGGGGCAGTGCTGGGGACTCCAGCTCCTCACAGACTTGCAGACAGTAGGGCAGAAGGGGAGGAGGGAGGGTTGGCTGGTGGTGGTCAAGGAAGCTTTCTCCAGAGGTGGAGTAGACAGACCGCAGGGCTGGGCGCACGGAGCTCTTAGCGTTCAGCCAAGTGCTTCATCTCTCGACTGGACCACTGCAGTCACCTCCTCCTGGCTCTCCCCCTCCCTTCTCCCGAGCCCCTCCAATCCATGCTGCTTGCCGCAGCCAGAGCAATGCTTCCAAACCGTAAATCAGATCACGTCACTCCCCACTCCCCTGCTCCCCCAGCTTCCCATCACATGCAGGAGGGAAGCCAAACACTGTCCTCAGCACTGGCCTGGCCTGCACAGTAGGGGGCTGGGAAGGATGGGCCCTTTGTACCTCTGCAAGCTCATGCCCCCCCTTGCTCCCCAGGCTCCAGCCACACTACCCTCTTCACTATTTCCTGGACGTCAAGCTCCCTCTGACCTCAGAGCTTTTGCACTAGCCTTTTACTCCTAGATGCTCTTCCCCCTGCTCCTTCTCATTACTGAGGTCTCAGCTCACTGAGCCCTTCCCTATCATATCCAAAAGAAGCTACACCTCTACCAATTAACACCCCATTTTATCTTGTTGGTACAATCAAGAACTGACATTGTTTTTTTTATTGCCCGTCTCTTGCCAGTGAAGGCAGGCATTCTTGTTCATTGCTTTATCCCCAGAGCTAGAACAGGGCCAATCCAGCACACAGTAGGTGCTCAATCAGTCTGCTAAGTAAGGAAGGAAATAGCTATTCCTGGTGGGGTAACAGTTTAGCCAAAAGACTGAAGGCTTGACCACCGTGTTTAGATGGCACCCCGACTTCCCTGGGGCAAGGGCACAGGGGCATCCAGGGTGGGGGGTGGTGGTAGCCAGGGTGGAGGTGGTGAAGGCAGTGGGAGAGAAGCTGCAGAGGCAAAGGAAGCAGGAGGCCATGCCATGCCCACTCTATGCCAGACCCGTGAGTCATGCAGGGCTTTCCCAGCCTGGGCCTGGCTAGGTTGTGCCAGCGCACATGATGTTTAGCAGCCAGGGATTGCAGAGCCCACTCTTCAAGAGAAGAAACTGAGGCTCAGAGAAGGGATGGTGCAACCTGCTGGAGGGCACCAGTGTGGCAGCAGCTGGCAGAGGCTTCCAGGTCAAAGCAAGGGCAGGGCACGCTAGAAGCCCCAGGCGGGCCTTGGAAGTCCACTCATCCAGTCTTCCCTTTTCCAAGAAAGCAGAAGACAGTGTGACATTAAGGCAGGCTGCTCACCATCTCAGAGCCTAGGCCATTCAGGTGACTATTAGGGGCCTGGGGGACCCCTCCCTAGCAGAGAGAGGACTGGAGAGAGAATGCACAGGCCAGGAAAGTCCTTGTAAACCATAGAGGGTGCACAGCCTCCCTCGCTGCTGGTGCCAATGTGGGCAGCTGTTCTCTCCCTGGGGCCCAGATGCTCACCACCTGGGCTGGTAAGTATGCATCTAGAGCGAGGCCTCCTGAAGCTGGGCTGGCTCATACCCCGGTACCCTGGAGCCCACAGCCGGAGATGCACATCCAGAGGCGTCCCTAGAACTGCCCTCTGCATTGCCTGTGCTCTGGCTGGTGGGCGGTCCTGGAGAAGCTGGTGGAGCTAGAAGAAGGATAGGAACCTCTCACCATTGCCTTGTGGGAACTGCCCTGCCTGTGTGGTATGTCCCAGGCACCAGGGACCTGAGCTGTGAGGAGATCTTGGGTGTGTCTGTGTATAATGAAGGAGGACATGCAGCCATGGCATGCTTCATAGTGAACGACAGTGGCATAGAGACTGAGCCAACCTACCTGTCCCTGATCCTTGGTACCACCTCTTTATAGCTAGGTGACCTTGGGCTTCTCTGTGCCCCAGTTTCCTGCTCAGGAAAATGGGGATGGTGAAAATCCACAGCCCAAAGGATTGATGTGAGAAGTCGATGAGTGAATCCAGAGCAGAGCCTGGCACACAAGAAGTGCTCAAGAAATGTCAGCTATGGAGGGGAGCTGTGGCACTATGTTGTGCCTCTAACTGGATGTGTGCACACACCTGTGAAATGGTGAGGTGGGTGAGTGTGATGGGGCTGCATGCACATGTCTCCTTATAGTCGTGTGCCTCTGTTTCTGGCATGCGTGTGAGCTGGAGATTTGAGCATGCCCACCTGGGTGCTTGCCCCTCTGGGTGAGGGGGTCACTGCTGTGCTGTGTGTCTGCCCTGGACAGCGGGTGTGATATGTACATGTCACTAGGTGTGTTTGTGGTGATGTACACTCAGGTATGTTAGGTCATGCATGCCTTGGAGAGTATGTATATGGGGTAATGTGCACACGTTCCTAGCAGGGCCAGCTAGTGACTCTAAGCACCTGTGCCTTGGGGGAAGATGTGTGTGTGTGTGTTTGTTTGTGTGTGTTTGGGGGGGACAGAAATCTATAGCTCTCACAATCCAGTTTGGAAATGTAGAGTCTAGCAACAAATATTCACTGTGTCCTACTGTGTGTAGAGGGGTTGGGAAGCGCTGGGGGAAGGGGCGGTCCTGGTGTGTGTGTGTGTGTGTGTGTGTGTGTGTGTGTGTGTGTGTGTGTAGCGGTACCCTTAGGGGGGCGGGGCCCCATGGTCCGGGTAGGGAGCAAGCTGGGGTAGAGCCCCCTTGGGTTATCTGGTGGGGATGAGGATGGGGGGGAGGCAGGGGAGGGGGTGGAGCCGGCTGGGGGATGGGCGAGGTTTGGGGGCGCGGGGAGGGGCGATATCTCCTCAGCTGGCTCCGGAGGGAGGGGAGAGGGCGGAGGGAGGGGAGGGAGAGAGGGAGGGAGAGAGAGAGACAGGGTGAGGGAGAGACAGTGAGAGCGAGAGAGCGAGAAGGGAGGCAGAGGAGGCGCGGAGCGGGCGGCGGCGGCGGCGGCGGCGGCGGCTTGAGGAAGAGGAGGAGGAAGAGCAGGCGGAGACGCCGCGCCCGGAGCCGGCCGGACCGAGCCGGGGGCGGGCTAGCCCGGAGGGGCGCGGCGGCCGCGGCAGAAGGGGGGCGCTCTGCGGATGGCCAGGCCCGGCCCGCGGGGGGGGTGAGGTCCTCGGCCCTCCCGCCCTCCCCCCCGGCCCCCGCCCGCCCCCTCCCCGGCCCGCTCGCCCTCCGGGGCGGTGGGGCATGGCCTGAGGGTCCCCCGTCTCCGGGGGGGTGGGGGGTGGGGGGAGGGGGGAGGGGCCGCGGGCGCCGCCGACCGGGACTCAGCAGCCCCGCCAGGCAGGTAAGGGGGCCGAAAACACGGGGGTTTGGGGGAGTTGCGGGGCCGGGGCCGGGGCCGGGGCCGCGGGAGGGGGCAGGGGCGCCCCGGACGTCCTTGGCCGCGCGCCGGGCTCCCGGCCCGGGTGTGCGGTGGGGGGTGGGGTGAGGAGGGGAGCGTTGCCCCGGGCGACGCCAAATTGGGTTACGCCCCGGTCCCCCGTGCCCCGTCCCAGATAGCAGACTTGAGGGGAGGATGCGCCCCCCATCCCCCCGCCCATAAGGCCCCCAGCCCGCTGCCCCGTGATCCCAGGCCAAGGGCTCGGTCGCTGTACCCACCTCCTGGCCCTGCCCGGCCACTCCCCCGCCTCGCCCACCCCTGCCGACCGGGGCCCTTGACCCCTCCTGCAGCCCCGCCGCGGGAGGCTCCTCCCCTAGGTCAGCGTGGTTCCCTGCCCCTCCGTCGGGGGTCTGGGCCTTGGCTTCCTCCGCCCCCTTGGGCCCCCTCTGGTTCCTGCCTCTCCTTCTAGGCTCCTCCAATCCCCTCCCACCCTCTTCCCGAGCCTCCCTTCTTCCCCACCCGTCTCCTCTCCTTCTCCACCGGCCGGCGCGCCCCCTCGGCTCCCGCCTCCGAGTCCCGCTCCCGGGTGCCCCCGCCCCCTCTCCCCGGCCCGGGGCTCTCCCCCACCAGTTTCTCAGCCCCAGCCCCGGCTCCTCTCCCCGCCTTTCCCCGCCTCTCTCCGCCTCCATTCATTCTCCCGGGCCCGGTCTCGGCCACACCAGCCGCCCCCTGTCCCCCCGCAGCCTCGCAGGGCACCCCCTCTCTCCCCTTCTCCACCCCCCCCCCCCGCCGATTCCTCAGCCCGTCTCAGTACCAGCTGCGTGCCAGCTATTCTTAGCCGCGGAGCGTTTGATTCATGCCGCCCCGGCGGAGTGTGCCCGCTCCCTCCCTCGGGTCTGAGGGGGAGGGGCCGGAGCTGGTCTGGGGGGTGGGGGGCAGCCGCACGCGCTGGGGAGCCGGGGCCAGCTTTGCTTTCATCCCCCTGGCCACCCCATTAAGTGCCCGGCTGAGGCTGGGGTCAGCCAGGGTCAGCCGAGGGGGAGTGGCAGCGGACTCCGGGTCCGGAGGTGGGATGTGGAGT